GATACCAAACTGGAAGCAGCAAGAGCGCTCGCTCGAGAGGCACCAATTTGGAAGTGGTACAAAAAACAAATGAGGAGTAATGTGATAAGTACTGAAGAGTAGAAGTTGGCTAGTAGATGTTGTACAGTAGTATATATAGCGAGGTATATATGATAAGGTTTGGGAACTATCCGGTAATTTAGTAATTGGTCTGGTCAAAAGGAGTGGTTACTAAGGAGATAAAATCTCATATAGCAGATCACACATAGGTACTAAGTTAGTAACTAGGTGAGTCTTATCTGTAATAATTAGATAGTTATAAATATATATATGTACATTTGTAACTACAATACCTTAGAGTACTAATAAACAGTTAAGGCAAGACTGCCGAATTATTAAAAAAAAACAATATAATATATCCCCAAATACAATATCTGGTTCTTCACATAGTATCCATCTAAATTTGATTCCAAATCAACTTTACAATTTAATATGTACAAAAAACTTATTATTAATTTCTTGTATTGATATTAGTAAAATTAAAATAAAAATCAAATTATAGTCAGATGATTATAATTATATATTATCTTTGTTAAAGTTTAAAATTAAATATTCGAATGCTTTGTATTTATTTTTTTCAACCTAAATTCTTTATATTGATAACTAACTATAATTATTCTATCATCACCTATGATTGAAATATAATATGACTTGCTTTACTATTACCAATTTAATTATTAATATAATAAATGGCTAGATACAAAATCTCTTTAGATAGTAGACCCAATATATACTATACCTGAGTCTACAATACAATATAGGATAAAGTTTAGTAAAATATAAAATACCCGGATATTCAAATAGAAAAAAACTATAAGAATATGAAAGTATATAATCAAATAGTTTAATATTTTCAAACCAGATAAACTTTTAATACTAATACAAAACTTGTATATATACTGATTTTAAAAGGTTTAACAGTGTATATTAACTTATAATAGCATTCAATAATGCAATAAAAAATGAATTTAGTCAAAGGATTGTTTTTATACTATTCAAACTACTATTTGAACCACTATTCAACACTGTCATATAACTTCACAAACATGTATGTCTATGAAGTCACAGAACTATGTTGAATAGTAGTTCAAAAATAATTTTAATATTATTGTACAAACCCTTTTGATTATAGATTTTTCTTTGTTATTTTTTGTATATAAGTACAACAATCTCAAATTAAAATCTAGTTAGCTAAAATAACTTGTAAATTATGCTCATTATTAAATGATAATATTGATCGATATTAATTGTTACATGATCAATATATTATAAATACTGATTCAAAACTTGTCTATCATACATATTGATATGGAGAAGTTTGATAGTATGTATAAAATTTTGTTTAATATGAAATTAGTTTAAAATTTAAAATTATATATTGTCAAACTTCTCCAAATCAATAGTAATAGTGGACAAGTTTTGTATTAGTATTGAGAGGATATCAGGCTGAAAAATGTGTAAAAAACAGTTGGGAATAAAAAACTAAAATTCTAATTTATAATAATTAATACTCTAGAACAAACTTTTTAAGACCAAGTCCAGCCTATGTGATAATCCACATTGAACTTGAACAAGTTTATGAATATTTGAACTGAATCTGAACTAAACTTGAACCTGGTTTAAAAGTTCAATATTGAACTCAGACCAAACTATATTTTTAAAAATAAATCTGGTTTGGGTCTGATTTAATTTTGAACCAAACTTGAACTCAACTCAAAGTTCGGTCTAGTTCATAGAAACACTAATACATACATATATATATATATATTTATATACAAACAATCAAATCAAAACTTGTAGCAAATATATTTAATTTGTTAAATAGTTTTTTATTTAAAAATTGCTCTTGACTAGGGAATAAATTCGATAAAAAATTATTGATTAATAATTGATCAAAAAAAAATTTTTCTTAATTGATTAAAATCAATTGTATATACTTGATCAAATATGATCAATCAAGAATGGAATTTATAAGCTTGAAAATTATACTTTGTTATTTTTTTACTATATAAATTTTCTTTATCAATCAAATTTCAACTATTTGATCGATCATAACTAAGCTTATAACATCATGCTTGATCATCAAGCCTAATCAATCAATGATCAAGAATTAAATGATTGAGGCAATTCATTACTCTCAAATCTACTAACCAAATAAAGTCAAGAAATTTATAGTCACACAATTAAATAGCCAAGAACTCATAACAAAACATAGTAATATTAAAAAAGATAGAACCTTATAGATGGCTGTACTCAAAAATGTGATGATTTAAAGTAATTTTTAAATTATATAATTAAAAAATCGTGAGAAATTCAAGAAAAAAAATTTTAAAATAAATATATTCTTTTTTGTAACCCAAGCCAAATTACTATGAAATTTAGATTTAAACTTAGATTTATATTTATTAAATAAAGCTCTTTCTTTAATTAGTATTATAAATAAATTTTATATTAATCAATCTTGTATATAAAGAACAATTTATCTTGTTTGGTAGTCTTTGAATTCAAATATGCAAACATTTTTAGCACCTCCAAAGCATAACAAATGATATATATATATAAATCCTTGCAATATATACATTATCAAAAATATGTAAATGCATATATGTATTTTAAAATGGTATCTACCTGAAACCCTTCTTCTAATAAAAAAGAGTTATGCAACAAAGTATCTAATGAAAAGAAAATGCTAAAAAACAACAATGAAAATAAAATCTCTAAATACTTAACTATGCCAATTTATATTCATGGATATATACAAACTGTTAGAACTACCCAAGCACAACTTCAAATAAGTTCATCTAGCAATTCATTTAATATTTCAGATGAAATTTCAGAAGAAATTCCACATAATGTAGCTGCCCAAAAAAGAATTATAGAACTGATTCAAAATGCACATAATAAATTAGATAAAATAAAAAATAGCAATTACAACAAAAGCAAATATAAAAATACAATTTGTTTCACAAATTGATAATATTTGAACTAAAATCAATGATAAAAAAATCAACTTAACAAACTCAAACAGCATACTTTCTTACAATATAAGTTTTAGGCTAAAAAAACTTCATTGGTGACAACCAGAGAATGATCATAGTAAAATGTAACTCAAATTACTTATAAAAATTGGAGATCTTCAAATGTGGCATGCACGCATCTAAAACTTTTTTTTATACTAAGTTAATCACTTTTCTAACTTAAGAGACTTTT